ATAGAAGAGGAGAATGCCACGAAGGGAGAACGCGTTATGCTAGGTGGTAACGAGAGGAAGAGGGAGAAGGTGGGTGCCTATACGTGGTCCAGAGCCACTTTACCCTCGCTCTCCCTCCTTTCGACCCTCCACCTGAATTTCTACGTCGCCACCCTCCTTCTTCGCCTTCAGAGACGTCGACTCCTACATAGTCGCTACGCCGACACTTTAGCGAGGGCCGATTGAAATTTTCATACCGACACGTCTGCCGTTCCAGTTTATGTTCCGAACAAGTGAAACGGCGCGCCTCTCCCCCTCGTTTCTTTTGCTTTCGTTTCGAGGATTCCTCTTTCTACCCCTCTCACTTTCCGCCGGGTTCCTTAGGTGCCTGCTACAGTTTTGCCTTTCGATTCTCCCGTCCTACGTCGCGACGGTTTCGTCTCACAGTTTCGCCCCGTTGTGTTCGAGCACAGGGGTGGAATATAGTACAAGAACAATAGTAACAATCCGACTGTGGATGCGCCTCGATACAACTCGAGTGCACTTCGCGTTCTTGCCTTTTCGCGCAGATTCCCAGTACCGGTTTCTCGAATAGCGCAACGATTGATACTCGAGCAACTTGTCGTCGATGCAGACTTTTGTGAAACTTTAAACACATCCGAGGCCGGTTTGAAAAAATCTTCAGTACAATTCTTACGTGACGAATTAAAAACTTCAAAAATATTTCTGTCACTGAGTTAATGTCAAGCTGAACGTTCGAAAGTACGTGAAAATTTCGGAATAATTATTACGAATTAACTTTCCAAAGAATCAATTCCTAAACTTAAAAGTGTTCTTTCGCAAGTTATTTTGTACGTGGATGAAAATAAATTTAGAGCGAAGAAAAAGGTTTCTCGGAAACGAAGTGCAGCCTAAATTGGATTCACGCTCGTCCGCTCGAAGGACTCTTGATCCTCTTCTAATTACCACCGGCATAAAATATGAGCGACGGATAGCCTTGAAAGTAGAATCCCGCTCACCTTTCCATGCAGATTTCATCTGGGGCATTAACGCCGGCCGAGATTGGCCGAGAAATCTGCAGCCGAGCAGTCGACCATCCGGACGAAATGGAGTGGCTGAGCAACTGGAGCTCGACACTCCATTGGGAATGGATATCGAGAACAATGCGTACTGCTGACAAGGCGACGTTCCAACCGGAGGAGGCTAGAACTTCGTTTTATTTCGCCCCCAAGGGGGGAGAGACGGGGCATTAGCTTTTGACGCAAATTAATTATCGATTAACAGCTTGCAGCCTCCACCTCGCTCAATTAATCAATTCGACTCGAGGAGGGGCACCGACTGCTCTTTCACAACCTAATTAAATCTGCCGAGCAATTAACGTTCACCTGACGGCAATTCCTCGGACCGCGATGTGCGTGCACCTACACGCGAAAAGGACAAGAAGGAACCAGCTCCTCGCGCATTTCTGAGTTACGGCCCAATAAAACCCCGCCAATGAATTAACGACTGAGACCGCGACGCTTCACCTTTCTCGCTCGGAGTCGGCTGATAGATAACCGTTCAATTGTTCGTCGCGTGTCTTTATTTCGGAATGCACGAGAATTTACGAGCAGCCGACACCAGCGCTCGCGAACGCGATAATTAGATTACACGGTGCGAGCTCACTGATCGCAGCAATAAAGATCCCGGACGATCGCGACGACGACAGCGCGCTTCTTTGAGCCCGGACTTTTTTATTAATACAGCTCGCAGGCTCAAAGGCTGTGAAAAATATGAGGGAATCACTGCCGGGTGAAAATGGAAATATTGTATCTCGTTCATTTTTAAACGTCCCACCACCTCCGACCGCGCGGGTGAACGCCACAAGAAACTCAGAATAGTCGCAGAAATACGCAGCTGACGCTCGCAAATTGGCTCGCGGCGAACCGCGCCCCGCGCGGCAAAGTAAACTTTCCCAACTGCCGTGAAACGATGCCGCGCCGCGCCGGTTCCGGAAGCCCCGATCCCGTGATAGAGACGTCGCGGGGACGAATTATTCGCTCGTTATCTGTTTTCTCTCATCGATAATGCATCCCGGAGTAATCTCTGTTCGAAAACTCGCATTCCAGTCCGGAAGACGTACCGCCGCGCACCGGGTATCTATCTATCCATCTCCTTTCGATGGAGGAGCCACGGGGGACGGCGGGGGTAGGAATTATCCGTACGAACTCCGCGGAACTCTGATGTTTTCTCCCGATGTGATTAAAGAAACGACGTCTAACGACGCTGTAAACTTTCGTATTTTAATGGCGATATTACAAGGATGTTTAACGATATCCTCTTCTTCAGGTGGAATCCCACTGGTAATGATAGTAAAAAAAAAAAAATGATATGGAGATATACTGATTGCTTTATGGTATGCAATTACAGACGGACGAGACTACCGAGTTCGAGAAAAACGTATGAGATTCCTGTCTAAAGTTGCTAGTCATTAAAACTAATTGGAGTAATTACAACAAATTCCGAACGAGTTGTATAAACCGTAGGATATATGTCACAAGTTTAAGAAATGTGATAAAAAGCTGTGTTCAATATTTGAACCGATAGAAATTTATATTTATGGGGAGGTAGAGTTTATTGAATTCTTCCACGTGTTTTTTTTAAGTCACAGACAATTTTTAATGTATAATTCCTAATATTCTAGTATATAATTTTGGCACTTTGTAATAGGATTGTACCTGGATTGCAAGTGTTCACATTTTCTACAAGTTCTATAATTAAGGCTTGAATGAAACTGAAAATTTTCAATTAGTTATCAAATAACTATAATTTTACGTTACGTTAAAAAATGTTGCCCTCAAACATAAAAACTCAAGATGTAATAACTTCTCGAATTAACTCTAGCGAAAGTCTCTAAAACTTTGCCCAGTGTTCTATTAATTAATTATTATATCTTTAAAGTAATTGTCTAATGATTTTTAACATTTCTCCGAAGCAAATAAATGAAATTCATTTGAAAAATATTTAAACCCTGTTCACGTTATCATGACAAGCGTACTCCTCGTATCGATTGTCCAGAAATTATTACCAGCCGCGATGACAAAGGAGATAGCCTTAGAACTGGTCCCGTACGCGTGTTCCACAGGCGATTAATTATCGGCGAACAAACGCGAGGCTGATCGCGATCGCGTGCACGTACCCACGCGGATCGAAAAAGAGAGTCAACCTGCTTTTATTTGGACCTCTCCTCCCCCTCACGAGGGATGGCGGCAGCCCCCTGGAGCCATTTCGTCCTCATAAATCGTTTATTCATGTTTAATGCAATCCCCGGTATCCGAGCACCGCCGAAACTTTTCGAAGCTCTCAGACGGAAATCGCGGATCCGACGGGCGTGGAAGCGGTGGTTGGAGGCGCGGGAACTTCGAACAAGGGAATGCTTTCGCATCGAGGAGGCCTGCTACCGGCCCGAAAAAAGAAACGAGAAACGGAAACTGAGGAACATCTCTTGTATCGGGGAGAGATTCTATCCATGGATTTACCTATTTGTATCTCAACGAACCGTAAATTCAATTAAATACACGAGCACTCATTAATTTTATAATTGCAATTATAACAGCCTAGCTTTATATAAAAATTAATCAGTGCCACAAGTTTTTATTGGTTTTATGATTGCGGCGTGTCATGCAATTGTATAGATTTTTTAATAAGATTTAATCGGTGAATTCATCCATTACGATTTACTCGAGAGGAATCAGCGATCACGTTGCGACTTCGTGGGGCACGAAACGTATTTTACGACACCTTCGTGATCCAGGGTAAGCTCGGCTCGGTACAATAATTAGTTTGACCCCGAGGAAATCGGGTCGATTCTGGTTTCATGAAGGAGGACAAGGTTCATTCAGCGTATCATTGCACAAAGAAGCTACTCTCAGTCGTTGCAAGTAATTACCGATATCTGCGGTAGAAATATTAAATTCGTATCCTATGTTCTTATTTAATATTGTACTGGTAATAATTTCTGGACAATTGATACGAGGAGTACGCTTATCACGATAACGTGAACAGGGTTTAAATATTTTTCAAATGAATTTCATTTATTTGCTTCGGAGAAATGTTAAAAGTTATTAGACAATTATTTTAAAGATATAATAATTAATTAATAAAACAGTGTGCAAAATTTTAGAGATTTTCGCTGGAGTTTATTCGAAATTCAACCGATCTACAGTGGAGTACATATATATTCATACATACATTGCAAAAATTGAGTAACTGTTTTAATATTGCATTTTAGCGTTACGGTCGATTTGTCGTGTTCGATCGTTGGAACGACAGTAGGTTTCAGGAAACCGGGATGTGGATTCGAGAAACGATCCCTTAGTGCAAATACACGCGCGTGGTCGGAAATTCGAGAAGAAAAAAAAAGCGGAGAGAAAGAAGTAAGAGGAGACGAGAACGGTAGGAAGGAGAAAAGAAGATGCGCACGAGTGGCTCTAATCCGTCCTTTAGCGAGCTTAAGCCCATCTTCGTGTACCGTGCCCGTGGAATACCGTTTAAGTGTCGTCCGTCTGGGGGTCCTTCGCTCGAGTAAATATTTAGGAATTTTTGAAGAGCTCCGAGTGCCTAAGAAAACAGTTTACTTCGTAGGGAGAAGAAGAGGCCCGGGGGCAGGAGGGGTGGTGCGCGCCGAGACTGGAGCAGTTTTCTACTACTAGTAGAGAGAATGCACCCCCGCCCTGTGATCAAACACGGCGCAATCGTATACGTGGAGAGGCAAAAGAGAAAAGCGGAGAGAAAAGACGCGGAGGGAGTAAGGGAAGTCGGAAACACGAGACCGAGCTTCATTTCGAAATTACCGAGCCTTTGTTCCGCGACTAAATGCGTTAAGCGTCGGTTTTATTTGATCCTCGGTCTGCGTGCCTTCGCGACGCGCTACCGGCCACGCCGTCGAGTCTCCCCGATTATTTTGCGAGATGCGTCGAAAACCCAGAACCCCGGCAACCGATGCTAACAGGATTTAATAAGCTGCGTGTGCGGGCACTCACTGTTTCCGCGATCGCGTTAAAGTCCCCTTCCGCTGGACTGAATAGCCGGAATTGATGAGCTCACCTGCAACAGAAACGGCAAATCTGTTTTTAGCATTTAATCAGGATCACCTCTTTTGTTATCAATTATTGTGATTGTGCTATACAATTCTGTTCATCAAAATTCGTTCCGCATATTTCGTTCGCTAGTTTCTATTTCGATTTTAACTACGAATCAACTGTTCGATAAATTAATTACATTTCTTAACAGTAGATCTACCGACTCGTTTTTATACGTGCATTTCTCCATTCGAAACATGAACTTTGTATATTAACATTACGAATTACCAAAACCATATATTAGAATATTAGTAATTATATATTAAAAATTCCCTGTGACTTAAGAAACACGTCAAATAATTTAATAAATCTGACTTCTCTGTAATTATTCCTAAAAGCTCATCGCTCTAAATCTTGGACACAACTTCGTATCATAT